GATTTTCGTAAACCCAATACTGTTTGGGAACTAAAGCCAAGTCATTAGTCGTGAGACTCGGATACGTGTAGTTTGTACTGAATGTAGCGCTCAGTCGAAGCCATTTGAATACAGTTGAAGTACTCGTCGGGAAAGACTCGCACCGGTCGTCATCGCACCGGAAGACACCGCATATCTCCTCACACATCGGATACTGCGGTTCGTAATTGACATCATTATAGGGATGACCACTACTGTTGCCCACAAAAAACCAAAACGACTGTCCCTTCAATCCATCACTTGATTTGAGTGAATAGTTTAGATGACAACAGAAACCGGAGTCACAAACCACTGATGAGCTCTCATTTGCTGTCAATTTATTGAGTGTCAGATGTTTTAAGTCTGATTTGCGTAAAGTTTTGTATTTGGCGTCTGTTTTCAAACTATCGATTGAAATGCTTTTATTGAACCGATGGTCGGGTTTTAGACACGAAGCCGAAGGGTTACGGCTGTCGACCGGTATGTCTGCGATCAATAGTTTCGCAGTTTTTGAAGTGATATTTGTGTAGACTATCGGTCCGTTTGTTCCCGAATATATACCACTGCCGACAGCGCCTGTAGTTTAATTAATTTGATTATTAATTTGTATGAAAACTACATAATTGTAATAAAATAATTACCAGTTTCGGGCCGAAGAATATTAGCGGCCAACAGATTTACCCGATTGGTTAAAGACCAGCCCAACTGATACTGTTTAGTTGTCTCGAGGGGTAGTCCATCGCTATAATCGGTGGGATAACACATTGTCTGAACGCCATATTTGGCCACATCTTGAGTGCCGGGGTTTTTATATAACATATCAAAACATATTTGTAAACCTATTCTCCCGAAAGGTGTGTCAAAGTATATGAACTCCGCTTCAGATGGAGTGTTATATTCAAACTCTAAGTGAAGGTGTGTTTTGTGATACTTGGCCACAATCGCACCGTTCGGGTCAAAGGCAACGGCTGTGTTATACATATAGTGGCCATCTTTGGGACACTTCGGGTCTGAAGTGATGTTGCATTCAATACGATCGCCATAATCGGCCACAACATAGATGTGATTATCTTTGGCCAAACAGCTCAGTGTAAGTGTTATGGGACTTGACTTGTAATCCAATGGCTTATCGCATGGATTATACACACCATGTTTTGGATTAGGAATTGCTTCGGTAATTGTGGCCACAATTTTGCGATCATATATATCCGGGTCTATAATGCCATCCTCAGGGAATACCAATATATTCGCCCCCTTGAGGTTAAATTTAGTAATTTATATTTTATTAATTTTAATTGTAAAAAGTTGATAATAAACACTTAAATACAGTACAGTGAAAATAATGACTTTTACATATATGGCATTAAGTTGAGCAAAACAATCTACCATGCTTTATCGAATTAAATATTTAGCAAATTTGATCAAGCTCAACAATTTTCTAAATGTTTTTAACATGATAATAAATGTCTAAATTGTCTTACATTTTCTGCCGCTTTCTTTACGATCTGTTTATAGACATTGAGGTTCTTCTGGATAATGATCTTCGGCTCATCTATTGCTTCGTTTCCCTGAAACAAGTGTTCAAAGACTGCGGCTCTAAAGCAGTCACTCTTCGGCTCACAGTTTGCTACAAGTGTTTGAAAGACAAATACAAACACAATAAACACCACAATATTGTTGTTGAATAACATTTTGTATTTTGTTATTTTAATTGATTTCAGTCTTTATATACAACGTGTTTTACATTAAGGCTATTATGACATCAATTAATACAATCAATTTAAAGAAGGTTTGTTTGTCAGCTAAAAATATCTTATTTGTGATAATGCATAAAGTCAGGGCATGTAACTATTGTTGCTAGATTACCGCATAACAATCATGGTCGAATTATTTTCCATAGTGAGTTCTGTGACACGTTTTAAAAATACAAATATTTTACACATTAAATTACCTATCATAATATAATAATTACCTATCTTATAATTAATTCATTTAAATCAGCAATTTTATAACCAATTTAACTTAATTATTGAAACAGCAAATGTAACTTTACGTATAATTAAGCAAACAATATGTGAATTCATAAACTATAAAATATATTGACTTTAATATCGTTGCGAATACTTATGTGTGATAAATATTCTTGATAAATTCTTATAACATGTTGTAATCTTATACAATGTTCACAAGCTGTATATAATGTACATTCATAGCACGGGTGGAAATTAAGCCTAACAATACACAATAAACCAAGACTTTACGTTATACTGTAGTAGGTTTTGACTAAAACCTCATTTCATACAATATATAATATCACAGAATTATAGCCATAATTACAAGTAATATGAATAAGTGTGATAATAGGATATGTATTGTATTTGTACTCAATAAAAAAGTTCCTGTTTTAGTGTTTGCTATAGGTAATAAATTGTATATTGTTATTTTAACTTGATTACATTGTAAGAATATACTGTACTCATACATTTCAGAGCAAAATTCAATTTTAAAAATACACAAACTTTTGATTTTCCATAAACTTTATAATGATTGTAATATTTTCAGTAAATTATCAGTTCATAAGTATTTTATTATTTAATATTAAATACAATAAAAAACTACAAATTAGAGAAAAACTCACTTCTGAGTCATTGATTTGTTGCGGATTTTCATAAACCCGATAATACAGTGTATATACCATCGAGAAAGTTGGTTACCTCGCCATTTAAATTACTCAAAATTAAATAATTTTGTTAATACTTATTATGATTATGTCCGTTTGTAGAATTTTATCATGTTGAATAAGAAAGTATTGCTTAACTTGTCTAAATTTAATGTATAAAGACTTCTTCTAAGTCTATAAGGGACTGCCGGTAATTATCTATAAAAATTAATATTTAAAATTTTAAAAATACATTTATAGTTTAACAACTTTAACAAAAACACCATATTTAGGCGAAAGAGTTAACATTTTGCATTCAGTCGTCAACTTTCCCATCTCTGTCTTCGGGCCGGGAATTAGTCGATAATTAAGGAGTAGTTTAGCCAACGCTAGTTTCGCCTCAAATAAGGCAAATCTCATTCCAATGCAATTTCGTGGACCACTTAAGGGTTGCCATGAGTTCGGGTGAATCTCGTGCTTCCGGTCGGCGCTAAACCTCTCGGGGTCGAAGACCTCGGGTTCGGACCAATAGTCCGGGTCGTGGTGTAGATAATGAGTGGCGATCTGAACGCCGGCACCTTTTGGTATAGTTATGTCTTTGTATTTGTAGTCCTGAAGACATTCTCGGGACACAAATGTAATGACCGGTGGATATAATCTCATGGTTTCGTTGAGAACACATTCCAAGTATTCCAACTTATTTACACAATTGAAATCCAGTTTACCCTCAGTTTCATAGAGTTGTCGCACCTCTTCTCTCACTTTTTCCTGTATATCGGGATAATTGACGAGAATGTGAGCCATATATCCGAGTGCTGTACTCGTCGTCTCATATCCCGCCTCATAGAAGAGTACAGAATTGGCTTTGATTTCATCTTCAGTTAAAACAATATCACTCTTTACTCCGTGTTTAACACCATTCGTACCATTTTTGGCACCGTTTTGACCGTTCGTTTGACTCTCCTTCTCATTGCCTGCAGTCATCTTCTCGTAACTCATTGAAGACATCTCTTCGGTCGACATCTTTGTGTCTAACATAAGTTGTAATAAATCTTTGCGACGAAGACTTGGATTTTCTTTTCGCAATTGAATGATATCTCGGGCCATATCGAAGAGTATACCATTGGGTGAGCGACCCATTCGGTGGCTCACTATCTCTGCCAGTCGTCGGTAGGGATAGAAAATGGGATCAATAATTGGAAAGCATATGATTGCGAAATACAGCGAAACATTAAGCTTGAAATTAAACACTTCTTTCGCCGCTTTCAGAAACTTATTGTTTTCCTCGTTTTGAACATTACTTTGAATACCAAAAGCCGTTCTTCCGATTACATCAGTCGTCAGATTCTGAAACATATCGTAAATATCAAACTCTTCACCCGTTTTGGACTTCTTGTCAATGATATCAATGAGATTATTGATGGCGTCGTCTATAATGGGTGTCATTGTCTTGAGTTTGGATCCGCTGAAAGTGGGCGTCAGAGCGCTTCGCACTTCTTTCCAACGCTTTCCCTCACGTCTAATGATAGATCCCTGAGAGCCGGGGTTGGAATCTTTGAGTGTCATATGCGGCCGATCGGCGAAGTACTGGAAGTCTTTGATCTGAATAGCCTTAGCCAAGTCCGGGTCGGCCACCAATACTTCCGGTTTATAGCCGTTATAATAGCCAACAATTTTGCCGTACGTTTTCACCCATTGTTCGTGTCTTACGATGGACTTGATCTTTGCCACCTCCAGAAGATTGCCGGATATAAGGCTCGGTTTAGGGCCCGGAATGCCATTTCTCTCCAGAATAGACATGTGTCGCGCCCTTTGGCGATACAAATACGCGATTAAAGCGATTACAGTTCCCAACAGTATTAATGATAACATATTGGCTGCCGATTGAAATACACAACAATTTTAATACAATTATTTAGAAATTTTGTTTATAACTTAAAAATTATATCACAAAAAATTACAGTTAATCTAATTAAAAACCTATGGAAATATTGCTAATTATAAATTAAATGTAATTAAATTTATAAACGATAGTTAAAATGTAAAGATATAGTCAACGACTGTAGATATTTGAGAAATGAAAGTTTTGCACCAATTTATATATTTTATACATTGGTTGTGCTCAACGAACGCCAGAGAAGTACTATTAGAATTTTGCGTACATTTCGCATAAAACACCAGGTACAGTAAACGTATAGTTCTTAAACGAGCAAAATTTACACTGACAAGCGAGGTGCACAAGGTGTCCGCGAGATAATAGCAGTTAATACCGATGTGGCAGTAGTTTAGGGCAATAGAAATAGAGTGGAGACATTTTTTCGGCTAATGGCCATATACTTATCTATGGTAGTCACCCGATCATTTCATGTATGCATGTTTTTATTGCTACCCATTATATACTATAACTTATAGCATTGAAAACCTTATGTTAAAATTCCATAGGATTGCAAATCACTCGCACTTAAAATACTGTACTATTCGCACTCAATTTCAAAATAATAAATATATAGATTATACTTTATTGGTTATCATTTGATAAGCAACTAGCGTGACCAATTTCAGTTTTAGAAAAAGAGAACTATAGACTTGTTTTCTCTCAATTTTAGAGGACAAATAGATGACACATTTTAATGGTGTATTTTATATGGAATTTTTAACCTCAAGTTACAGTGTATATTAGAAAATGAACTAGATGTTCAATAATCCTCTTTAATCATTTTAGAGGACATTGGTTAAATACTCGAAATAAAGGATTTCCTTTGAAATATAGGACAGTTGGTCACGCTATAAGCAACTATGGCTTAAGTTTAACTAAATTATCAACAATAATTATTATTGTTTGTTAAACAGGACTAATGTGTGCAATAATGTGATGCATTGAGTTTAATAAATCGCGTACATTAAATTTGCACTTATATTGCAATACATTTTGTTTGTACAATTGGGCTCCGGGTGTGCGACGAGTTGGCGGACGCCGAGCGTTGTATGCGCGCCACCGGACCATTTATAGTCAATAATTAAAAGCCGTCATTTAAAGTTCTAGTCACTAGTTAATGATAGATGTGAATTTTATAACAATATCCAATATTATAAGTCAAATATAGCAACTTTTATTCACCCCCACCTTTTTGTCCCAAATAGCGAATTTTTCTTTGTCTAACACTATTTATAGCGCAATATATAACAGATTATGAACTGTAATAGACCTTAATATTAGGAATAGTAATAATTATTTGTCTTTTTTTATCAATTCTTAAAAAACATTTTTATAAGTTTTAATTAATTTTTATAGATTTATATAGATTTGATTTATTAATGTCTGTAATGTAATGGCTGCACATACTATCAAGTTCAATTGAGTGCATCACGTTTTTAAACAACAATAAATTCAAATTCAAATTGTTATGCGTTGGCTATAAATGGTGTTTAACAAAGAAACATCCACCCAGGGGCAAAAGGTGGGTGTGGGCCCCACACTGTGGGGTATATAGAGTTTCTAAAGTTGTTGTCACTGTAGAATGTAATACATATTATCTACATGTAATAGATATGTAATAGAGTTTTGAGAATATATAAAATTTAATTAAAATAGACAAAACAAATATTTCTATTGGTTGTATTTAGAATATGCAAATACTATTGGTTTTTGTTAGGTTTGATGGTAATTGTTAAGTATAATTAATTTAAATTTTACATGTATTTTATTATAAATAAATATTAAATACAAGTAAATGGTACAAGTTATGAAACTAGAGTGGATCACGATCAAAACACCGGCCATATAAGTGCATAGCCAGCAGTGGTTTGTCGTAATTGTGTAAATCGAGACTCACTTCTGAGCCATTGATTTGTTGCCGATTTTCGTAAACCCAATACTGTTTGGGAACTAAAGCCAAGTCATTAGTTGTGAGACTCGGATACGTATAGTTAGTACTGAATGTAGCGCTCAGTCGAATACTTGTGAATACAGTTTGTTGGGTAACACGGGTTGGATAGGACTCGCACTCGCCGTCGCACCGGAAGACACCGCATATCTCTTCACACATCGGGTATACTTCAGGATATGGATGACGACTACTGTTACCCGCAAACAACCAAAACGACTCATCCTTTAGTCCGTCCGCAGATTTGATTGAATAGTTTAGATGACAACAGAAACCGGAGTCACAAACCACTGATGAGCTCTCACTTGCCGTCAATTTTTTAAGTGAAAAATATTTTGTGTCTAATTTACCCTCTGTTTCGTATTCGGCGTCTGTTTTTATGCTATCAATTGAAATGGTTTTAGTGAACCGATGGCCGGGTTTTAGACACGAAGCCGAGGGGTTACGACTGTCGACCGGTATGTCTGCGATCAATAGAGTGGCAGTTTTTGAGGTGATGTTTGTGTAGACAATTGGCCCGTTTTGTCCCGAATATATACCGCTTGCGACGACACCTATATTCGTGTAATTAGTTATCGCATTCAGTATTATATGTTTTGTTAATCATGATTACCAAATTGAGGCACAAGAACATTAGCGACCAACAGATTGACCCGATTTGTGACAGACCAGCCCTCGTGGAGTTGTTTAGTGGAGTAAATAGACAGTCCGCCGCCCATATATGTGGGATAAAGCATTGTCTGCACACCATATTTGGCCACATCTTCAGTGCCGGGGTTTTTGTATAACATATCAAAGCATATTTGTAAACCTATTCTCCCGAAAGAAGTGTCAAAGTATATGAACTCCGCTTCAGTGGGAGTGTTGTATTGTTTTTCTAAGTGTAGGTGTGTTTTGTGATACTTGGCCACAATCGCACCGTTCGGGTCAAAGGCAACGGCTGTGTTATACATATAGTGGCCATCTCTGGGACACTTCGGGTCTGAAGTGATGTTGCATTCAATGCGATCGCCATAATCGGCCATAACATAGATGTGATTATCTTTGGCCAAACAGCTCAGTGTAAGCGTTATGGGACTGAACTTGTAGTCCAATGGCTGATCGCACGGGTTATACACACCATGTTTTGGATTAGGAATTTTTTCGGTAATTGTGGCCACAATTTTGCGATCATATATATCTGGATCTATAATGGCATCCTCAGGGAATACCAATATATTTGCCCCCTTTTAAACAATTTTTATATTTAGATATAATTAAATATAATTAAATTATATTAATGTTTTGGTATTAATAAACATATTTTTAGTTTAAATTATTATTATATTACATTTTCGGCGGCTTTGGATGCGATCTGTTTGTAGACATTGAGATTCTTCTGAATAATGATTTTCGGGTCGTCTATTGATTGGTTTCCTTGAAGTATGTGTTGATAGACTGCGGCTCTAAAGCAGTCACTCTTTGGCTCACAGTTTGCCGAAAGTATTTGAAAAACAAACGGCAATAAAATAAAAATCATTTTAGTGTTTAAAATAAATACAAATATAATGTATTTTTAAAAATAAAGAATGTATATAATGAATGTCTTTATATACAACATTTTGCACTTAAACTATTGTGATATCAATTAAGGCAATTGAAAATTATTTTTGATATTTATTTATCTTGTGATAACTATAATATTAATATCCTGGTGAGTTAATCCTTTACTTATGTTGCTAGGTAATCTTTTAAAAATTAGTGCTAAAAATATTAACCAAATTTGTTTAAATTTTGCGGCATTTAAAAAATATGAATATTGTAACTAACAAATTATTTTACCAATTCATTTAAACACACAATTTTAGAGACATTATAATACGACAAGAATGATAGGTAAAGACCTTTGGAATATATTGAAGTATTTTATGCCTAAACTAATAGATTATATAAATGTTCATGAGGAATTTAAAATTTCATCTTGTATAGTTTTAATACTTAAACATTCTGCACACAATTATCCTGTTACAAACAATTATTATCAAGATATTATATTCTAAGAAATATTTCCAATTATTATTATCATCTATTATATCAAATACTCGATTGAAATAGAAAATAGAAAAAGCGTAACATACAATAGGGGGTGGGGGTTATGAAAAGATAGAGTGGGATAGAATGGGAGAGAAAATGGGTAACACATTTTGGGGACTGGGCTGATGATGGTTAGTAGTTTATAAAAAAAAAGCAATTCATTGAAAACATTAGATTATTTTTTTGCAACATTAATAATAATATGTTATAATTTATTTATAACTTATAAACTAATTTGAATTTAGTAATTACATTGTATATGAGTTGTTTATATGAGAATAATTAAGTAATTTCTTTGTTTTTGTTCTCTGTACTGAAATTGAAGTAAACTATATTTTATTAAATCTAACAGTAATTAAGAGAATAGTACATGAATTAATTGAATTCATTAACTATGCAATATTATTTAAAGTACTTTGTTTGTCACAATATTAGTGCAACATTTTGAAAACTTTATGAGTAATAAATATTTTAGAATGTAGATAATTTTTTATGTTCTTGTTTAGTTTGAATAGGTTTGAAACATTTGTGTTGCCAGCAATGTGCAATAATAACTCATTCACCGTAATCATAACCGGACAAATATTATAGATCTCTTTATATGTATCAAAATTATCATGTTCATATTTAACTATTTAGTAATTATGTAATTTAATGTTAATTGTTTTTGCTTTATTTTATTGTGGTATTTATTAGTTTATTAAAATTTCTTATAACAGTATTATTTGTATGAAATCAAAATCTATATTCTGTCGACCATTTCAATAGATAATACTTATTGAGATGAGGTATAAATAAGTTAACATTTATAGCTCTAAAGGAGGATCGCGATCGAAGCACCGGCCGTACAAACCCATAGTCAGCAGTGGTTTGTCGTAATTGTTTAAATCGAGACTCACTTCTGAGCCATTCATTTGTTGCCGATTTTCGTAAACCCAATACTGTTTGGGAACTAAAGCCAAGTCATTAGTCGTGAGACTCGGATACGTATAGTTAGTACTGAATGTAGCGCTCAGTCGAAGCCATTTGAATACAGTTGAAGTACTCGTCGGGAAAGACTCGCACCGGTCGTCATCGCACCGGAAGACACCGCATATCTCTTCGCACATCGGATAGATTTGAGAGATGGGATGACCACTACTAGTGTTGCCCACAAACCACCAAAACGACTGTCCCGTCAGTCCGTCGACCGAATTGAGTGAATAGTTTAGATGACAACAGAAACCGGAGTCACAAACCACTGACGAGCCCTCACTTTCAGTCAACTCTTTTAATATATGCCCTTTTGTGTACATTTTGGCTGCCATTTGGTATTTGGCGTCTGTTTTCAGGGTTTCGATTGAAATGGTTTTGTTGAACCGATGGTCGGGTTTTAGACACGAAGCCGAAGGGTTACGGCTGTCGACCGGTATGTCTGCAATCAAGAGTTTAGCCGTTTTTGTGGTGATGTCTGTGTAGACAATCGGACCGTTTTGTCCCGCATATATACCGCTTCCAACGGAACCTTTATTTTCACATTAATATTATTTATTAAATTAAAAATATACTACTTTTCAAAATAATAATATTTACCAATTTGTGGCTCTAAGACATTAGCGGCCAATAGATTCACCCGATTGGCCACAGACCAGCCCTCCTGGAGCTGTTTGGCTGACCTTAGAGGCAGCTCATCGAACCAATCCGTCGGGAATATCATTGTCTGCACACCATATTTGGCCACATCTTGAGTGCCGGGGTTTTTGAACAACACATCGAAACATATATATAAACCCATTCGACCAAAAGGTGTGTCAAAGTATATGAACTCCACTTCAGAGGGAGTATTGTATTCAACCTCAAAGAATAGATGCGTTTTGTGATACTTGGCCACAATCGCACCGTTCGGGTCAAAGGCAACGGCTGTGTTATACATATAGTGGCCATCTTTGGGACACTTGGGGTCTGAAGTGATGTTGCATTCAATGCGATCGGCCCCAACATACATGTGGTTATCTTTGGCCAAACAGCTCAGTGTAAGTGTTATGGGACTTGACTTGTAATCCAAAGGTTTATCGCATGGATTATACACTCCATGTCTTGGATCAGGAATTGCTTCCGTAATTGTGGCCACAATTTTGCGAGAAAAGGCGGGATCTATGAGACCATCCTCGGGAAACACCATAATATTTGCACCCTTTTTATATACAAATCAAATAATTTCAATTATTTCAATGATACAATTGATACCATATTTATATACAGTATATTGTCTTACATTTTCGGCGGCTTTGGATGCGATCTGTTTGTAGACATTGAGGTTCTTCTGGATTACCACCGATGGCTCGTCAGTGGATCGGTTTCCTTGAGGTATGTGTTCATAGACTGCGGCTCTAAAGCAGTCACTCTTTGGCTTACAGTTTGCCGAAAGTGTTTGAAAAACAAATACAAACGCAATAAACACCACAATATTGTCACTCAAATTGAATGACATTTTGTTTGTTATTTAGTTATTTAAATCGATTGAAGTGTTTAAATAGACAAATATTTCACTTCAACTATTATTTATCAATTGTTGAATCTATTTTATATTAAAAATGAATTATTAATATAATTATTACTGCTATAAATCGATGGCATTTACATTTATTTGTTATTTAATTTGTTACTTTCTATATTTTCATATAAAAAGAGACACTTGAGACAAATTCACGTATAGTATTGTGGTATCAATTATTTTAATCAATTTGACAGTTAAGTAAAGTGTGAGAGAAAATAGTTATTACACAATAATAAGGTACGTGAAGACCGGGTGCACTACACTATTGATTAATACTTATCACTTATACAACTGTACAGAATATGCGACATAAGTCCACTAGAAAATTATATGATCATGTTTAGTTTACATAACTAGCACAAAAAATTGATCTATCATCTTTATCAACAGTTATCTATAATGAAACTTACAAACTGAATTAATTAAATAAGAAACTATTCGCAATTTTAATTTAATTTAAATGATAAAATTGTTTTATAAATAAATAAATATGAATTTCAAATATAATCAGTGATTATTAATGAGCAATAGTTAATTGAACATAATATTAAAATAATATTTGCATCAAATCTTCCCGCTTTGAATTAATATAACCGTATAATTGAGTGCAAAACACATTATCTATTCAAATGATTTATTAATTATAATTTCAATTTATTTAAAAGTAATGCTTTAATTATTACAAACCGATACAAATGTGGTCAGTCTGTAGGCAAACACACCGGCGATTGTAAATCCAATGTTTGAATGTTTTAATTGAGATCTAATGACAATGAATTGGCGAAAGTCATTATCACTCATCTTAAGCGTCGAGACATCCATTGTCTCAAACTTATGGTACAATTGATCTGTCTTTGAGTGAACTGATCCATGAATGAGACACTGAGTGATCAATGTTCGGCAATATCTGGACAAATACATGAGAAACAGTGGATTCAATGCATTCGTATCTCTAAACGTGAAAATAAAGAGATAGATGTAAACCATAATCCCAGAGATGGTTATAATAGCATCGCATAGACTCGTTATACGCATAGAGTTGTCTAATGTTGTCATCATTTTCTGCAATTCAGTCAATGATATCCTCAATTCACTGATTGATGACTTAGTTTTGTTATCATTTTGATGGCTATCCGACCAAACGGTTGTTTTATTCAATTGCTCACCGATTGTATCCATGAATTCATTGATTGCCAAAGAAATTACTATACAAAATGAAAATTACCTTAATCTATATTCAATTTATTTAATTTTAAATAACAAACCATATGTAAAGAAATGAATAGTCGACTGTCCGATCTTGAGGTACGTTCCGTTCAAAAATGTTATACAGTATGTTTCAGTGTTCGAACCGAACCAATAATGTTATGTAAGTGAATGTTATGTAATAATTGCATAATGTCAGTGGTGCTGTCGCGGGCAAGCCATACAGTACGTCACTCAATTACACTAAGCAATTAACTGTAAACTTATTATTTCATAAAAATTATTTTAATAAAGTTTTTGTTTTGATTAAAAACGCGCGTTTATTTAATAAATGTGTCAACACTTGGCTTTCAATCAATTCTTCAAATCAAAATTCTCGCAACAATTCCATGACATTTTGTTTCGATCGCTGGTATTGTTAATTGGTTTCGTGACCCTCAGTGTCGTTAGTGAGAGACAAACATGTCATTAAACTCATCGGATCCGACGTCTGAGCCTTGGTTTCACGGACCTCTCTCTGGCAAAAAAGCCAAGCGTTTGGTTTTCAAAAAGGGAACAAACGGGACTTTTTTGGTCCGCGAGAGTCAAAGCAAACCCGGAGATTATGTGCTGACCGTGAGAACCGATGATAAGGTGACTCAAGTGTTGATCACATGTCAGAACACGAAGTTTGATATCGGGGATGGAGAGATATTCAACTCCTTAAGTGAATTAGTCGAACACTACAAGAAGAACCCAATGGAGATCACAGGAACTGTTGTCCATTTGAAGAATCCGTTTAACGCCACGCGTATCACTGCCTCAACCATTGAGAATAGAGTTAAAGTGTTGACCAAAGAGAACGTCCAAAACAATAGAAAAGCGGCCAAAGTGTTGACGACGACAATTGAAAGAGTATTGTCAGACTCAGAGACAACACAAACCACGAGTACAAACAGTAGTCCAGTGTTTGACGGGTCGGCGCATCGAATGATGAACTCTCATGAAAGTCAGTTCAGACCACAAAACATGTTGTGTATGCCTTACCCACAGATGGACAACAATATGATGCGATTCAGCTCTCCCTGTGATAACCTAATGCCCCCCAGAGGTAGGGGTCCCTCCGATATGCTCTCCAATCGGTTCGTTCATTACAACAACGACGTGATGCAACCGAACTCCCACTTCAACGCCACTCCCATGTCGGCCATGAATAGCGGCGAACCCATGAATGTGATGCCATTCGGCGCCAACCAGTCATCCGGTGCCAGATGTATGGCTACTGTCAACAATTTCAACCCCCAAATGGACAGTGGCTTCAGTTCATCGCCGCTGCAAAACATCCAGAAGATGACCCCTCCCTATGACATCGGGTCTCCAAACAATGGCGACAACAGAATGATGTCCAACGGATCTCTAACGCACAGCCAGAACCCCAACGGTTCCATCACTTCGGTGTCACAAACGCAGCGAACGAACAATTTTGATCCTATGACATCGGGTCTCCAAACAATGGCGACAACAGAATGATGTCCAACGGATCTCTAACGCACAGCCAGAACCCCAACGGTTCCATCACTTCGGTGTCACAAACGCAGCGAACGAACAATTTTGATCCCATCTCTTCCATGGCAGCGATGGGCGAACCCGTGAACAGCCCTATGAATGCACAGCACAACACCAACAACAACAACATGATGAACATGTCTTCTATACAAATGGCAGCTAATGGGCCGCCGCCTCCCGGACCCCCTAATATGGTTAACTTCCACACATCCATGTCTTCAATGCAGGGAATGCAGCAAAACATGTCAACAACAACATGATGAACATGTCTTCTATACAAATGGCAGCTAATGGGCCGCCGCCTCCCGGACCCCCTAATATGGTTAACTTCCACACATCCATGTCTTCAATGCAGGGAATGCAGCAAAACATGGCCGGAGAGGCTATGAATGGCCAGTACCCACACATGAACCCTAACATGACTGGAGGCCCGCAAACGGTGAACAACACATATGTGAACGCAACGATGTCTATACAGCAGCTCAACATCCAAAACGTGCCCAATCCTAACCAATTCAACCCCAATTTGGATCAAAACATGAACGTCGGGCCACTCGTACCTGAATTTCTTGATAAATCAGGATTGCATTATGAAATATTAGATAGAGTAGAAATGGTGGAGTATTTTTATCAAACAAATTCGTACTTAAAGGCAGCGAAAATGTTTGCCGAAAACCATCCGGAAAGACTCTATGTTTGCTCTAAAAGAGTTAAATTTTTCGTAAAACAATTCAAAGAAAAAGGTAATAATTAGCTTTAAATAAAATTTTATAATCTCAAAATTGTTCACACTATCGGGTAATATGTATTCATATGATGTGATCACACACTTTGAAACACAAAATTAATTAAATTATTAATTAATATAATTTAAGGAAATGTTGCAAATGACAAAAAGATTCAACCAAAATCTGCAACAAATGAAAACAAATCCATTGATGTGTTAGCCCAATATTCACTAATTGGCAAAAAATCATTAAGAAAATCTGGACGTCTTAATGACATAAGTTATTCATCTGTGAGAAGAATTTTGAGAGAAAACAAACATTATCCATATAAAATGCAACCTGTTCATTTAATGAATGGTAAGTTTTAACTAGTCATTTGATATATGTTAGTCTTTGTATAGATTTAATAGAGATATTTTAACAAAATTAATTTTATAATTTAAGTCAACATTTCTAGGCACTAGAAACTGAATTTCGTAACGATTTAAATTGTAATAATTAATATTTAAAAACAATTAATTTATTTAGGTCAAAGCGATTATGATCAGCGAAAAAAGTTCGCCAATTGGATGTTATCTCAGATCCAAAAAGATCCTAAATTTGTAAATCGGATTCTGTTTTGTGACGAAGCGATATTTTATGCTAAAGGTATTAATGATAAATAATAATAATATCGTATTTATTCTTTCAAATAGCAAATAATATTGCAAAATACCCTATGTTCCCAAATATAACCACTTCTTATACAATGAAAAATTTACATTCAATAAAATTTGAGAGAACACATTCCGTTTTATCTATTGGTCGTCTAATTAGAATAAAGTAATCATTGATTATAGTGTCAAACTAAGTTTTATATACCGGTTAATAAAATTGTAGAAATGATTTATTTATGCTCTTAATATTGTTAGATTTTGGAGTAATTTTATATTATAAAATTTTTTAATATTCTACAATGTGCAATAGGTCATATCAATCGTCATACCCATCGGTGGTGGTCACCACATAATCCTGAATGGATTGAAGAGACGAAGACTATGTCCGATGATCGGGTAATGGTTTGGATGGGCGTTTGGGGCAATCATAAAATTGGCCCATATTTTTTTGAAAACACCGTCACAGGACACTCGTTCACAGAAATGATGCGAACAAAGGTTGTATTACTTATAAGTTGTTATGCAATCATTTGACCGATTGATCGATCGATACAATTCTTAACACTTATTTGACTCTATTTGCTAAGCATTTTATCAGATAATCTATGCATAAGATGTCGTTAATTAATATTCAAATGAAGTGCACAACCAATGAGAATATATTTTTAATTGAATTTTATTTCAAGTCGTGTTAACGATTAGAAACTATTTTAACTAAATGTTTACTTTTTAACAATTTTATACAGGTTTTGCCAAAAATTCGACAAATGAATGGATTCGAGAATATCATATTTCTATGTGATGGCGCAAGTGCCCATTATTCACTCGAATGCCGGGAATTCTTAAACAAAGAATTTCCTGGTCGATGGATTGGAAGGAGTGGCCCGATGGCCGCGTGGCCGCCGAGGTTAGTTAAATATTTCTATTCTAAATAAAGTAAAATTCAATCCTCACTTAAATTCCTCACTAATATACAGTACATATATATTTTATAGGTCGCCGGACCTAACAATAATGGACTTCTTCGTGTGGGGCAAATTAAAAGGTTATTATTAACAATTTCCCTCGACTAGAATTGCCGGCAATTATATCTAGGTTTTAGCCAAATCACAAAAGTGCTAAATTTATATCCGAATACAATTGCCCCCCATATTAAAAACTTACATATATTATAATTACATTTATTATATAATTTATAGATGATGTCTATACCATCGAAATCAAAACAAAAGCTGATATTATTAATTCGATTAATCTTCATGTAAATTTAATTACTAAACGAATGCTTAGAAATGCAAGAAATTCATTTACGAAACGAATGCATCTCTTAATAGAAACTGGTGGTAAACATATTGAACATGTTTATAACAAATATAATTATTAAATATTTAATTAACTTTTATTCGTTATAAATATAATTTTAATATTAAATTACAGAACAATAGAATAAAATCAAATTATTTCGAAAATCTTCTTGAGTTCAATCATTAACTGCCAGTCGCTCTTCAGGAGGTAGTCCCAGAAGTACTCTTTGACGACATCAATGGATTCACGGGTGAGTCGAGACATAAGCAGATCCGTGTGATCGAAATGTCTTCCGTATAGTTTAGGCGCATCGCCGCCAAAGTTCTCGATTTTGATGCACATCTCCTGTCCTTTGCGAGCGATTTCCACCGCTTTGTGATTG